TGGGAAATAAAAAATAGCCAGGCGGAGCTTAGTACAGCCGGCTCCTTGCGTGTACAGAAAGTGCGGAGTAACATGCACCTGGGGAGCGTGAAGGGTAACGCGTCTCATCAGCTCGTATAAACAGCCACGCCAACTCTTTGCTAGAATTAGTGAGGCTGGGTGATACAAAAATTCCGAAGAGTGGCTTGTGTTACAAAAACAGGTCGGTACGAGCTAAATGGCAGCAATCCTGAATGTGTTTCTGCAGGCTTGCACTTCGGTTTCTCCAGCACGACTCGCCTAAAAATGAACGCAATTCCTCCCCCCGTGCAAAACACAAAACAATCGTTAGAACATTAACAGAATCTAAACCGATCTGAAAAGCAGCTGCTCCTCTAGTTACTTGCCATGACCTGAAAGTTAAGATTTTGTTTTTCAAAGCTATAAAAGTGTTTTGGATATCACTAACAATTCAGTGAAATAAGCTGTCTCTAGCTCTTGTGGGTGTGAGGTGGGCACCTGCACTGTGCCTTTTCCTCCGCAGTGTTGACTCCCCTGTTTGTTTTTTTTTTTGTAGGAAAAACAATCAAGCTTTTCACTGCTCCCCGCTTTTCTACCAGTGTCCCACACTCTTGTGAGATCCAAATGCAGGAACAGGCACATTTGTTATTACCCTCCCGAATGTCTTCAGTCATTGTCTGGCCTGCAGGTTTTCTGCCTTAGCCGTACTGAACTTCTGAATAGCGCTTGTTACTAGAAGGTCTCGAAAGCACGGACATCGTTATTGTTACCCGATTTTGCAGACAGAGAAACACAAGAAAGTGGAATGGCCTGCTCCATCTTGCTAGGCAGAACAATAGCGGCGGATACAGGTCTTTGAGTCCTAAATCAAGATCCTGTGTCTAAGCAACACTAATCCAAACTCAGAATGCCTCATGAATTTACATGTCAGCCTTGTACGTCTTAGTCCTTTTCTCTGTACAGCAGATAATGGGTGGAAACAGATTTGCCTCGCTCATCCAGCGTGTATCTATCTGAGCTGACTCAGGGTGTAGGATGTGGACAGAGACAGCCTAGGTAGCACTGAGCAGTGCTGTTGCCTATCACTTTTGGTGCTGTTCTCCCCGCTGATTTGGTTTCTGTTATAAATTCAATGAATTTGAATTCTGGGTTGCATTTCCCCACCATGCATTCAAAACTGAGCTATCAAAAGAGAGAAGGTAAGTGTCCCACCTCTCCGGTGCTTCTGGGGTGGGGGCAGGAATCTCTATTGGTGTTCCAAACGTTAGCGTTCCCTGTTCGAGGTACTGTATAGTTCTGCACTTTTCCCTGTACCTCTCTAAACCATTTACCCTTTATTGCTCTTCCACGGTGCTTTCTTATAAGTATCACGAAGGACTTTACAATCACCAAACTGTCGCTGTCTGAATTTTTTAGAATATAACTGTTACAAGTTTAGCAGAGGTTTATTGGTGGAATATTTCTTCCTGTTCTGCTGAGTTTCTGCGTTTGTTCGTGCTTAGTACACAATCAATTTCATAGGTTCCTGAGTATGTAGGAAGGTCCTCTCCCTTATCCATGAATAAAATTACTCTTTGGTGAACGGACCTACAAAAGGATGGGCAAGAACATCAGATGACTTGAAAGGGTTGTCAAGCACTGGAACAGGCTGCCCAGGGAAGTGGTTGAGTCACCATCCTTGGAGGTATTTAAAAGACGGGTAGACGTGGTGCTTGGGGACATGGTTTAGTGGTGGACTTGGCAGTGCTAGGTTAACAGTTGGACTCGATGATCTTAAAGGTCTTTTCCAACCTGAACAATTCTATGGTTCTATGACTGTGAGTGCTAAGACACTGGCTGTTAATTCCCTTCCTTTTCTCTATGAGAGTCTTTCTCATAGAATCACAGAATAGTTTGGGTTGGAAGGGACCTCTAAAGGTCATCTAGTCCAGCCCCCCTGCCGTG